CGCCAGCCTCTTCTACCATCGCCTTCAGCCTCTCTGGCCGCCGAACGTCCTTTTCAAACCGAGACGCTCACACAGGCTGCCCACAGGCACCCCTGCTGACCCAGGCAGGGCCCGAGCATGGAGGGGGCCTGAGGACTGAGTCTCTGGAAAGCAGTGCTCGGGGTTCAAGGCTGAGGCTGGGGAGAAAGCTCTTTCCTCATCACCCCACCCTTCCCACCTCTTTGCTGCTACCAGCTGGGTGGCCGGACTCTTCGGTCTTCAACTACAGAGCCCCCCGGGGAGTATGGCCAGCGCACCCCTGTCCTGAGCCTTGGAGCCGCTGGAGCTGCACAGACTTGGCCTCGGCTTCGTTTTTGCCATGTCTGCTAGGTGGCCCTAAGGACCTCGCTTCACCTCTGAGTCCCAGTTTCCTCACCTCACTTGATGGTTCTGATTAAGAGATCAGGTGTGGAAAGTGCTGTGGACCAGGAAGAAAGGAGATGACGGTGACAGTGACGTGTACGGTGGTGGTGGTGGTGATGACGGTAATGTGTACAGTGGTGGTAATGGTGACAGTGACGTATACAGTGATGGTGATGGTGGTGATGACAGTGACGTGTATGGTGATGGTGATGGTGGTGATGACGGTAATGTGTACAGTGGTGGTGATGGTGACAGTGACGTATACAGTGATGGTGATGGTGGTGATGACAGTGATGTGTATGGTGGTGATGGTGGTGGTGACAGTGATGTGTTTGGTGATGGGGATGGTGGTGATGACAGTGACGTGTATGGTGATGGTGATGGTGATGACGGTAATGTGTACAGTGGTGGTAATGGTGACACTGACGTATACAGTGATGGTGATGGTGGTGATGACAGTGACGTGTATGGTGATGGGGATGGTGGTAATGGTGACAGTGACGTATACAGTGATGGTGATGGTGGTGATGACAGTGATGTGTATGGTGATGGGGATGGTGGTGGTGACAGTGATGTGTATGGCGGTGGTGATGGGGATGGTGGTGGTGACAGTGATGTGTATGGTGGTGGTGATTGTGATGGTGGTGGTGACAGTGATGTGTATGGTGGTGGTGATTGTGATGGTGGTGGTGACAGTGATGTGTATGGTGATGGTGATGGTGGTGGTGACAGTGATGTGTATGGTGGTGGTGATGGGGATGGTGGTGATGACAGTGATGTGTATGGTGGTGGTGATGGGGATGGTGGTGATGACAGTGATGTGTATGGTGATGGGGATGGTGGTGATGACAGTGATGTGTATGGTGATGGGGATGGTGGTGATGACGGTGATGTGTATGGTGATGGGGATGGTGGTGGTGACAGTGATGTGTATGGTGATGGGGATGGGGATGGTGGTGATGACAGTGATGTGTATGGTGGTGGTGATGGGGATGGTGGTGGTGACAGTGATGTGTATGGTGATGGGGATGGTGCTGGTGACAGTGATGTGTATGGTGGTGGTGATGGGGATGGTGGTGAGGACAGTGATGTGTATGGTGATGGGGATGGTGGTGGTGACAGTGATGTGTATGGTGATGGGGATGGTGGTGGTGACAGTGATGTGTATGGTGGTGGTGACAGTGATGTGTATGGTGGTGGTGATGGGGATGGTGGTGGTGACAGTGATGTGTATGGTGGTGGTGATTGTGATGGTGGTGGTGACAGTGATGTGTATGGTGGTGGTGATGGGGATGGTGGTGGTGACAGTGATGTGTATGGTGGTGGTGATTGTGATGGTGGTGGTGACAGTGATGTGTATGGTGGTGGTGATGGGGATGGTGGTGGTGACAGTGATGTGTATGGTGATGGTGATGGTGGTGGTGACAGTGATGTGTATGGTGGTGGTGATGGGGATGGTGGTGATGACAGTGATGTGTATGGTGATGGGGATGGTGGTGGTGACAGTGATGTGTATGGTGATGGGGATGGTGGTGGTGACAGTGATGTGTATGGTGGTGGTGATGGTGACAGTGATGTGTATGGTGGTGGTGATTGTGATGGTGGTGGTGACAGTGATGTGTATGGTGGTGATGGTGGTGGTGACAGTGATGTGTATGGTGGTGATGGTGGTGGTGACAGTGATGTGTATGGTGATGGGGATGGTGGTGATGACAGTGATGTGTATGGTGGTGGTGATTGTGATGGTGGTGGTGACAGTGATGTGTATGGTGGTGGTGATGGTGATGGTGGTGGTGACAGTGATGTGTATGGTGGTGGTGATTGTGATGGTGGTGGTGACAGTGATGTGTATGGTGGTGGTGATGGGGATGGTGGTGACAGTGATGTGTATGGTGGTGGTGATGGGGATGGTGGTGGTGACAGTGATGTGTATGGTGATGGGAGTGGTGATGACAGTGATGTGTATGGTGATGGTGATGGTGGTGGTGACAGTGATGTGTATGGTGGTGGTGATGGTGATGGTGGTGATGATAGTGATGTGTATGGTGGTGGTGATGGGATGGTGGTGGGTGATGGTGATGGTGATGGTGACAGTGATGTGTATGGTGGTGGTGATGGTGATGGTGATGATAGTGATGTGTATGGTGGTGGTGATGGGGATGGTGGTGGTGATGGTGATGGTGATGGTGACAGTGATGTGTATGGTGGTGGTGATGGTGGTGGTGACAGTGATGTGTATGGTGATGGGGATGGTGGTGATGATGGTGATGTGTATGGTGATGGGGATGGTGGTGGTGACAGTGATGTGTATGGTGGTGGTGATGGGGATGGTGGTGATGACAGTGATGTGTATGGTGGTGATGGGGATGGTGGTGGTGACAGTGATGTGTATGGTGGTGGTGATGGTGGTGATGACAGTGATGTGTATGGTGGTGGTGGTGATGACAGTGATGTGTATGGTGGTGGTGATGGGGATGGTGGTGATGACAGTTGATGTGTATGGTGGTGATGGTGATGGTGACAGTGATGTGTATGGTGGTTGTGATGGGGATGGTGGTGATGATAGTGATGTGTATGGTGGTGGTGATGGGGATGGTGGTGGTGATGGTGGCGGGTGGTGATGACAGTGATGTGTATGGTGGTTGTGCTGGGGATGGTGGTGATGATAGTGATGTGTATGGGTGTGGTGATGGGGATGGTGGTGGTGACAGTGATGTGTATGGTGGTGGTGATGGGTATGGTGGTGATGACAGTGATGTGTATGGTGGTGGTGATGGTGGTGGTGACAGTGAGGTGTATGGTGGTGGTGGTGGTGATGACAGTGATGTGTATGGTGATGGGGATGGTGGTGATGACGTGATGTGTATGGTGGTGATGGTGGTGGTGACAGTGATGTGTATGGTGGTGATGGTGGTGGTGACAGTGATGTGTATGGTGGTGATGGTGATGGTGGTGATGACAGTGATGTGTATAGTGGTGATGGTGATGGTTGTGGTGACAGTGATTGTGTATGGTGGTGATGGGGATGGTGGTGATGACAGTGATGTGTATGGTGGTGATGGGGATGGTTGTGGTGACAGTGATGTGTATGGTGGTGGTGGGGATGGTGGTGATGACAGTGATGTGTATGGTGGTGGTGATGGTTGTGGTGACAGTGATGTGTATGGTGGTGATGGTGATGGTGGTGATGACAGTGATGTGTATGGTGGTGGTGATGGTGATGGTGGTGATGACAGTGATGTGTATGGTGGTGATGGTGGTGGTGACAGTGATGTGTATGGTGGTGATGGTGGTGGTGACAGTGATGTGTATGGTGATGGGGATGGTGGTGATGACAGTGATGTGTATGGTGGTGGTGATGGTGATGATGACAGTGATGTGTATGGTGGTGATGGTGGTGATGACAGTGATGTGTATGGTGGTGATGGTGGTGGTGACAGTGATGTGTATGGTGGTGGTGATGGTGGTGGTGACAGTGATGTGTATGGTGGTGATGGTGGTGGTGACAGTGATGTGTATGGTGGTGGTGATGGTGGTGGTGACAGTGATGTGTATGGTGGTGATGGTGGTGGTGACAGTGATGTGTATGGTGGTGGTGATGGTGATGACAGTGATGTGTATGGTGGTGATGGTGGTGATGACAGTGATGTGTATGGTGGTGGTGATGGTGGTGATGACAGTGATGTGTATGGTGATTGGGATGGTGGTGATGACAGTGATGTGTATGGTGGTGGTGATGGTGGTGGTGACAGTGATGTGTATGGTGATGGGGATGGTGGTGATGACAGTGATGTGTATGGTGGTGATGGTGGTGGTGACAGTGATGTGTATGGTGGTGATGGTGGTGGTGACAGTGATGTGTATGGTGGTGATGGTGGTGGTGACAGTGATGTGTATGGTGGTGATGGTGGTGATGACAGTGATGTGTATGGTGATGGGGATGGTGGTGATGACAGTGATGTGTATGGTGGTGATGGTGGTGGTGACAGTGATGTGTATGGTGGTGGTGATGGTGATGACAGTGATGTGTATGGTGGTGATGGTGGTGATGACAGTGATGTGTATGGTGGTGGTGATGGTGGTGGTGACAGTGATGTGTATGGTGATGGTGATGGTGATGACAGTGATGTGTATGGTGGTGGTGATGGTGACAGTGATGTGTATGGTGGTGGTGGTGGGGATGCTGGTGGTGACAGTGATGTGGATGGTGATGGTGATGGTGACAGTGATGTGTATGGTGGTGGTGGTGGGGATGGTGGTGGTGACAGTGATGTGTATGGTGGTGGTGGTGGGGATGGTGGTGATGACAGTGATGTGTATGGTGGTGGTGATGGTGATGGTGGTGGTGACAGTGATGTGTATGGTGGTGATGGGGATGGTGGTGGTGACAGTTATGTGTATGGTGGTGGTGGTGGGGATGGTGGTGATGACAGTGATGTGTATGGTGGTGGTGATGGTGGTGATGACAGTGATGTGTATGGTGGTGGTGATGGTGATGACAGTGATGTGTATGGTGGTGGTGATGGGGATGGTGGTGATGACAGTGATGTGTATGGTGGTGGTGGTGGTGGTGACAGTGATGTGTATGGTGGTGGTGATGGTGATGGTGGTGGTGGAGATGATGGTACTGGTGATGGTGGTGATGATTGTGATGGTGATGATGGTCATGATGATTATGGTGGTTAGTTGTATTGCTTATCTATTGCTGTGTAAATTGCCTGAAAACACGTAGCTAAAAAACACGAATATTTATTATCCTGCACAGTTGCTAAGGGACCCTCGAAACTTGAGAGCGGCTTAACTGAGTGGTTCTGGCTCACGGTCTCTGGTGAAGCTGCGGTCAGGCTGGCAGCAGCGGTTGCATCTCCGAGCCTGACTGGTGAGAGATTCGCTCCCAAGGCTGTCAGCAAGCTTGTTCACCGCCCATACCCCAGGGATGTCGGTATCTGCGGGCTTCTCTGTAGGATGTCTGAGTGGACTCACTGCAGCTGCTGGCTCCCCGAAGAGGAAGTGATGAGAGAGATGGGTGGGTGAGGGGAGGAAGGTGAGGGAGAAATCCAGCCAGCACCCAAGACAGAGTCACACTCTTTTCTACAGTGGCCTCTCAGAGGTGCCACCTCCATCACCCCGAAGCATCGCCAGGTGCAGCCCATTCCAGGGGAGGAGACTCCACAGGGGCGTGCATCCCTGGGGCCACCTCAGGACTCCCGAGCAGACACTGTGGTAAGGAGAATGCAGAAGCAGAGGGTGTCTTCTGCCTTCAGCCCCCTCCAGCCAGGAGGAAGAGGTCAGAGACCCCACACAGTCTCTGTGGACACCAGGTCTCACACCTGACTTAGAAAAGAAAGAGATTCTTGGGCCACACCCAGGGCTTCTTGTGATTTACCTCTTCCTGCCGGGGCCTGAGTCCCTCCAAAGTGTTGTGTGAGTTGTGGCTGTGTTCGTATCTCTCCCTCAGCTGTGTCCCTGAGCCTGGGCCTGGGCCTCCCACAGGCCTCCTGCAATCTCTGCATTCCCTGAAGATGACTGCTCTGCTCCCAGGGCCCCTCCATCCACCAGCGAGGAGGAAGGCAGAGGGGCCAGGCACGGAGCAGGGCTGGCAGGGACCCTGTACCTAGCACCTTGGAAAGGACAGAGACCCAGATGGAGCCTGTCCCCTCCACACCTGGCCTGGGCACCGCCCCCCGCCCAGCTCTGCCAGAATAAATCCTCCCCTAACAACCTCCCGCTGCTGTCCCAGCATCTGAAGAATGAACACAGCTGCGCTACCCGATGGGACAGTTTGTAATAAAATTGCTTCTAAAAACATATTTGCAAGTCACCACCACATTTTTTAAGCAGAACAATCTCTCGCAGAGGCTGTTCATCTCCGTGATTAAGTAGCCGACTTTCTTACATAGATTTTCTTATATACGTCTTCACCAGGCGGAGGAAACGCTGTCTCTCCAGTGGTTTCCTTTAAAAAGTGTTTTGACGTGTGATTTACGGGGTTATCTGATGCATCCCCTCCTGGAGTGGGTTGACAGTGAGGGAAGGGGTGCCCTCGGACACATCTGTAAGCCAGGCTGGCTGGGCAGAGCCTGGGCTCCAGGACTCACCTGAGGCTCGAGGGGTTCAGCATGCGGGGTTTGGGTCCCCTGCTCCTGGTGTCCCCCCGGCCTTCTCCCAGCCCCAGGCATCTTCCTGGGCCCTCTGCCACCCCTCCTCAGGGGAGGGAGGCAGCGGGCAGTGTAGCATCCCTGCACCTAGCTGTGTCTGAGGCCACCACAGGCCTTGGGTGACAGTGACAATCCCACCCCTGGAGCTGGACCAGGGGATTCTCGGGTCCTTCTCCCATGCAGTGAAGTCAGTGAGCAGCAGCCAGAACAGATGCCACCCTCAACCCACCAGCATCCGGGTGCCGCACACCTGGGCTAATCTCTGTAGTGTCAGGCGCCACGGCTGTGCAGGGCTGTCCTGAGCCTCTAGGCAGAGCCCTCCGCACGCCCACTCCATGCTGGTCCCCAGTGGTGACTGGGGTCAGACCCATAGCCCTGTGACCCTGCTGCCCCCCAGCCCCAATGCAGAGCTCCTCCCACAGAGCTACCAGTTGGGGTCTCAGGGACACCCACCACCTGTCATTGGGTCATTGACTTTTTGCTTCTGTGAAGTGTCAGCCAGTTGAAAGGAAACTTGATTTCCACCCTGTCTGCACGTCAGCTTCTCAGACCCATCACTCCTGTGGGACAAATACTGCCCCTTATAAATGAGTCCACCACCCCCGGCCGAGAGTTAGGGCTGAGCCCAGATACTCGGGTGTTGAGGACTGTGACGTAGGAGCAGCTGTGTCCCCACCAGCAGGCTGTGAACGGTCTGCATGGGAGCAACCAGGCCCTCTTGTGTGCAGACCACACGCCTGCCTCAGGCTTACTTGTCACAGGGCAGTCAGGTGACCCTCCCAGCTGGCACGCGCCCCGGCCTGGGAGCACTTCTTGGAATTGAGCCTACAGCATTTCCAGGGCTGCTGTCTGGTTGGAGGCTGCCCAGGGAGGCCAAAGGACCCAGGCCCTGCTCCTGCCAGCCCCTCAGCCCGCGGCACCGCCTGACTGGTAGGGCCTGTATGCAGCAGAGCCTGCCTCCCGTGCCAGCACCAGGCACCCTCCAAGTGGACCCCCTGGCCAGGAAGCTGCCCGAGGGCCTGAGGCTGAGGAGCCCCTGCTGTGCTCTGCAGCTCGGGCCTGGCTCTGGCCCTTCCCAGCACCCCACCCAAGTGCACGTCTGCACACCCATCATGCATCTGCATGGGTGCTGGCATGTGGGTACACTTGTGAATGTGTCTACCCTGTGCCAACAGCAGGCAGGGAGCCGCCCCAAGAGCCATGGTGGAGCCAGCTGAGTACGTACTGCTGGGCAAGCCGGCCACCCAGAGGCTGTCCACACCAGAGCACCATGGGTACCACAAGGACCGACACGGGGACCGAAGCCTGGTGGGCAGCCCTGAGGACGCTGTGCCCAGTGAAGGTCACAAAGGGCGAGTTCCGTGAGTCCGCTCCTGGGGACACCAGAGCAGGCAAATCTGGATGAGGGGTGAGGGGTCACCAGGGGCTGCGGAGGGGACCGTGCGGGGCTGCTTTTGAGGTGATGCAGGTGTGGACATCGCTGGGGTGACGTACAGCTCTGTGGAAAATGAAAAACACTGAATTTTACACTGTAAATAGTGTGCAAGTCACATCTCACTAAAGCGGTTTAAATAAAAAGAAATCATATTAGGCCAGGCACAGTGACTCACACCTGTAATCCCAGCACTCTGGGAGGCCAAGGCAGGTGGATCACTTGAGGCCAGGAGTTCGAGACCAGCCTGGCCAACATGGCAAAATGCCGTCTCTACCAAAAAAAATACAAAAATTAGCGGGGCGTGGTGGCTCATGTCTATAATCCCAGCTACTTAGGAGGCCAAGGCAGGAGGCTCCCTTGAACCTGGAGGGTGGAGGCTGCAGTGAGCCAAGATTGCACAACTGAACTCTAGCTTGAGCAAGACTGTCTCAGAAAAAAAAAAAAAAAAATTAGATTGGGGTGTCACAGGGGTGTCTGGGCAAAGACTGTGCCTCCTCCTGCCTGGGCCAGGTCTCCAGGCTCCAGGCAGTCTGGTTCCTCTCCATCCCCTCGAAGGTGTAGTGCCCGGAGCCAGCCCTGAGGACCTCCTGGCCTATGTCACTGAGAGGTCTGGGGGCCAGCGCCCAGCTCTACTGGAGCCTGCGCGTGCACTGGCCAAGGCCCCGGTGACCCTTCATGCACTGCGGGTATGGTCAGGGCAGAGAGTGGACAAGCAGGCCCAGGGAGTCTGCATGCCTGGGAGGGGGCAAGAAGGCAGGGAGAACCACGGAGGGATGTGCCCTGCTGCAGGGGCTAGCCCTGGCCGCTCACCCCTCACCTTCCTGGGTGCCCACAGGGCAGGCAGCTAGGCAGGGGCTTCAGCCTCAGACAGTGCCCTGGGATCAGCTGGGCCCCACCACAGCCACGCTCCAGCAAGGGCAGGGCCACTGGGCCTGGGGGCGGCTAGAGGGGGCTTGGCCCTAAGCGGGCAGCCTTCCGCTGGAGAAGGCACCATCCCACCGTACTAGGGACCCCCTCGAACAGCCCCTCCCCAGGGCCGTGACTGCAGGAGGCCTAGGGGTGGACCCAGCACTTCCCCGCCCTGCAGGCCACAGAACCCCCAGCCCTTCTTCCCGGGGGGGGGGGGGGGGGGGAGAGATATATTAATTATATTTCTCCCCCCTAATGGGCTGCTTAGTTTATGACGTGAGGACACAAAAGTAAATTTTAAAATCAATTATACAATTACATATGTAGCAATAGCAGAGGACACAGCTAATCTCCGTCGGGTCAGGACTGCAACCTTCCAATAATGCAGGTTTCATTAGGGGAAGGGCTGTTACTGCCTAGAATTACAGAAATAATGGGAGTGGCTGTATTCAGCGAGCACTTAACAAATGAGGCTGCTCTGGAGATAAGACGCAGAGCCGGCTGCCGGCGAGAGCGGGGAGGCCGAGACACGGGGGTCAACCGCTGCTGCGGGAACAGGAATTAATTTTAGACGCTTCCTCGGGGTCTGGCGGCGTGAGCTTCCGCCTCTCGGAGGGTGGGGTGAGGGGTGGGAGCAGAGTGGGGTCCCCCAGCCTCATTCCTCTCTGCTGCTGGGTCCTGGCCCGCGGGGAGGGTGACTGCCCAGTGCCCCTGATGGCGTGGGTGGCCCGGAGGACGGCTGGCCTGGCCGTCAGCACAGGGTGAGAGTGCGTGGGCCTGGGGAGGGTTCCAGGGCTCCTCTGGGGTCGGCGTGGGGCTGCGCCACTGTCCCGGCACCCACAGGTCATGGGGATTGTTTCCAGGGGCGGGGGTCGAACCAGCGTCCAAAGTCTGCTGAGCCCAGAAAGGGTGAGCGAGGAAAAAGGGGGAGGGGAGGGGAACGGCTTGAAAGGCAGCTGGGGCTGAGGCTCTCCGACCTCCTAGGCCTCCCAGGCGGACCCCGCAGAGGTCCAGAGGTCCAGGGCTGCGGGTTCCCACAGTCAGCCTGGGGCCTCCCCACCCCAGAAGCCAAGGAGCGGCTTCTGCAAAGGCAGGTGCATCGCCCCCGCCCCACGGCGCCCCACAGGCCCGTCCTTCCCGCGGTGCGGAGGGGAACGAAGCTGGGAGGCTCAGCGGCTCCCCCAGTCGGCACGGAAGCGTCTGGCTTCGCAAGAAGGGTTCTTCCCAGCCGCCCTCACTCTGCAGGGACCCACGACCCCGCGGAACCCGCCGTGGCCTGTCCACCGTGCGCGAAGCCCCCGCTCCATTACGCCGTGGAGACGCGGGGCGAGGCCGCCAACCCCGACCCGACCCGGGGGCCGCCTCTCCCTCCTCCAGCCCCGGCCCGACCCGGGGGGCGCCTCTCCCTCCTCCAGCCCCGGCCCGACCCGGGGGGCGCCTCTCCCTCCTCCAGCCCCGGCCCGACCCGGGGGGCGCCTCTCCCTCCTCCAGCCTCGACCCGGGGGGCGCCTCTCCCTCCTCCAGCCCCGGCCCGACCCGGGGGGCGCCTCTCCCTCCTCCAGCCTCGACCCGGGGGGCGCCTCTCCCTCCTCCAGCCCCGACCCGGGGGGCGCCTCTCCCTCCTCCAGCCCCGGCCCGACTCGGGGGGCGCCTCTCCCTCCTCCAGCCCCGACCCGGGGGGCGCCTCTCCCTCCTCCAGCCCCGACCCGGGGGGCGCCTCTCCCTCCTCCAGCCTCGACCCGGGGGGCGCCTCTCCCTCCTCCAGCCCCGACCCGGGGAGCGCCTCTCCCCCCTCCAGCCCCGGCCCGACCCGGGGGCCGCCTCTCCCCCCCCCAGCCCCGACCCGGGGGCCGCCTCTCCCCCCCCCCCAGCCCCGGCCCGACCCGGGGCCGCCTCTCCCCCCCCCAGCCCCGACCCGGGGGCCGCCTCTCCCCCCCCCCCAGCCCCGGCCCGACCCGGGGGCCGCCTCTCCCCCCCCCCAGCCCCGGCCCCTCCCCCGGTGCAGCGAGGCCCGCGGTAATTCCGAGGCCGCCGGGGCCCAGCATGCAAATGAGCCGACGGTTCAGGCTCCTCGTTCCACGCCGGCAAATAGTCTCCGATAAGGGGATCTTTGTAATTACACGGAGCTACACTGGTCAATTCTGACTTTTAAATACCGCAGGGCCGAGCCCGGGCAGGAAGCGCGAACACGTGTTCCGCGGCGGCCGCGCGGCGTTTGAATCCGCCCCCGCCGGGCCGCGGCCGGCCGCGCTTTGTGAGCGTTATCGCTCCATCTCGGCGCGAGATCATTTCCAAATTAAATTTTATG